ATTGTTTTATATCATAATGTTGAGTTGTACTACTCCAATATCAAGATACTTTTAAATTCATATGATATTGTTTTGATTAGAAGGACAAATACTTGTTCATGGAAATATTGCGTTTCCCCATAATCCTGGTCTTGGTGGCCCTGCAGTGTATCGTTGACCCTCCACATATAGTTGATCTTTTATCATTCTCGCTTTTTTCCCCTCAGATTTTGCCTTCTTGTAGATGGGGTAAAGCTCTTTTCTTTTTTCAGCTATCTCTTTTGGGAATTGTTCTGCAATCCCTACTTTGGAGCCTTTTAGCTTGTATGCGTTTCTGCGGACCTCTTCTCTGTCTTGGTAGCGTAAGAATTTGCTTACAATAGGTCTTGGCTTACCCGATGTTTTCTTTCCTATTCGATGTGCACGATCAATTTCGATAAGTGAGACATCTAAGCCAATATCCTCGATCACTCCTTCTATAAGCGATTTGCTATTTCTGGCCTCATCCTCTTCTTCGGGTATATTATAAAATAGCAAATTGTTCCTCATTGACCTTGCTCGAAGGTCAATGGTGTCATCCTTTAGCTTTTTGTTTTCCTCCTCTATTTTGTCAATTCTTTCCTCAAGCTTCCTTATGGCTTTTCCCTCCTCTTCTTGTTCTTTTTTTAGTTCTTCATAAGACTCGTGAGCGTACTCGCATGATTTTTTTAGATCTTTGATGTCCTGGTCGACACGTGCGAGATGTCTCTCTATGTCTCCAAGTTTCTCCAGCTTTTTGTTCATATCCTGTAGCATTTTGTACATTGATTTTAACGAAATCTCTTCTTCTTCATCTTGAAATTTACTTTGCTTACTAGAAGGCTTCATTGGTGTGCTTGTTTTAGAAAAATCTAGTTCAGATGCAAGACGTTTATTTTTTGGTGGCATACCTGATACCTGATACCTGATACCTGTAGATGCTTGTTCTTGGTCTTCTTGCTGTACTGTACAATTGTACTGTAGATGCTTGTTCTCGGTCTTCTTGCTGACTACGTTGTACTGTAGATGCTTGTTCTTGGTCTTCTTGCTGTATTGTACGTTGTACTGTAGATGCTTGTTCTCAGTCTTCTTGCTGTACTATACGTTGTACTGTAGATGCTTCTTCTGGTTCTTCTTGCTGTACTGTACGTTGTACTGTATATGCTTGTTCTCGATCTTCTTGCTGTACTGTACGTTGTACTGTAGTTGCTTGTTCTTGGTCTTCTTGCTGTACTGTACGTTGTACTGTAGATGCTTGTTCTCGGTCTTCTTGCTGTACTGTACGTTGTACTGTAGATGCTTGTTCTCAGTCTTCTTGCTGTACTATACGTTGTACTGTAGATGCTTGTTCTTGTTCTTCTTGCTGTATTGAATGTGCGTTGTACTGTAGTTGCTTGTTCTCG